GGGAGATTCTCCCTAGGTGGGTCTCCAGAAGGCTTACAGAGGCAGGAAGTCCTTTCTTGGATGCCCTACCACGGGCCACACATTTGGCCCTTTCTGAGCCACCCCCCTCCCCCGTCCCCCATCCCCCCCCATCAACTCTGGGAGGTGAGGCCGTGTCTCTGCTAACTGGTTTATACATCCTTCACCACCAGCATCCTCTGAGCCAAGCTCATGCTGGGCGCCCAGAGCCAGTCTGAGGTGGGGGAGGCAGACAATTAAATAATCTTTAGTGAAGTCACTTTTTCAAGCAAGTAAAAGCATAATTATAATAGCTGCCATTTATACAGCAATTACCGTGTGCTGGCTCCCTCTTTCTCAATTTCCTTGCGTATAAAATGGGGATTATTATTAGTAGGGCCGTTGTGACAATTAAATGAGTTAACCTCTGTGGAACACAGAGGCAGTGCCCAGCACACAATAAGTGCTCACAATGTGTCCTGTCATCACCTCTCTCGGGCTTCTCAAAAACCCTAGGGCAGGGCCAGGGGTCCACTGACAAGCTCCACATTGTAGATGAGGAAGCCGAGGCTCAGACAGAGCCTGTAGACTGGGAATAAAAGGCTTCACCTGTGTCCTATGGAGTGCCTGGTGGTTTTGAACTGCTAACCTTACTGTTAACAGCCCGAAGAGTAAGCACTAAGCAACCAAGGCTCCGGGACTTAGGTTTTGAGTTCAAAGCGCGCCTGGGCTTTGGCGTCACACCGCTGGGATGTGAAACCCAGCTGTACCAGTTACTAATTGTGTGATCTTATTATGATGATTAGATTTAAGTTGCTTACATCTCTCTACAACTCAGTTCGACGTCTGTAAAGTGGGGATAATGATAAGACCTCTTTCACTACGGGAGCATTTAAAAAGGTCAAAAAACAAAACCAAACTCTGCCATCAGGTCAAGGGCAACTCATAGTGACCCTATAGGACAGGGTAGAACGGCCCCTGTGAGTTTCCAAGATTGTAACTGCTTCAGGGAGTAGAAAGCCCCATCTGCCTCCCAAAGAGTGGCTGGTGGTTTCGTACTGCAGACCTTACGGTTAGCACCCCAATACCTAAGCACTATGCCACCATGGCTAGTAAACATCAGGTCAGCAGAACCGTGCCTGCTACTGCGCAGCGCTCCAGGGAGGGTGGGGGTGGGGGTTGTGGTTGTAGCTGGCGGAGTTAGGATTTGAACTCAAGACGTCTGGTCCAATGAGCTGAGATGCACGTCAGCAGTCGGTGCTTTCCAATCAGCCATCACTTCCTAAGAGCTGCTGCAGGGGCGGATGGGGACCCAGGGGTGGGAGAGTAACTGTTCCCAGGGGGAAGCCTTCCCTGGCCCCTAACCCCGCGCGACGTCGTTCTCGCCTCCTCCAGGTTACGCCCCGCACTGCCTGCCCCCAAGCAGCTACGATGCCGACCAGAAGCCGGGCCTGGAGCTGGTGCCCGCAGAGCCCGCGTACCCGCCGGCGGCGCCGGAGGAGTACAGCGACCCCGAGAGCCCGCAGTCCAGCCTCTCGGCGCGCTACTTCCGCGGCGAGGCGGCCGTGACCGACAGCTACTCCATGGACGCCTTCTTCATCTCCGACGGGC